CTTGGGTAAATTCAGGCCAGGTCTGGTTTATGTATGACTCTACCTCAAAATAGAACAAAAGGGCCTGGGTACCCACATGTGGGGGCATGTTCCTTTAAACCCAGCTCTCTGGAGGCAGAGATCTCTGAGTTCAAGGCCAGTGTAGTCAGTCTATGTAGTGGGACACTGTAGGCGGAGTTTTCCTGTCCCGACCGCCTGTTCCCAAATAATCACTCAGAGGCTTAATATAAATTATAAATGCTCAGCCTATAGCCCAGGCTTATGACTAACTTGCTCTAACATTTTTGTTTGTTTTTATTTATTTATTTATTTATTTTGAGACAGGGTTTCTCTGTGTAACAGCCCCAGCTGTCCTGAAACCAGCTCTGGAGACCAGGCTGGCCTTGAACCCACAGATATATGCTTGCCTCTGCCTCTTGAGTGCTGGGATTAAAGGTGTCTTTAATTAAAGGCCCCACCACCACCTAACCTCTGGTTCTAACATTTTAAGTTAACCCGCATTCGTTATTTATGCCCACGCCCTCGTTAGCAGGGCGGGGTCATCTCCTGTGCGCTCGGCGTCTGCTGGCAACTCCTCTGATTCTGCTCTCCTCCCCATCATTCTCACTTTGGCTTTCCCATCTAATTTCCAGCCCTTCTACAGGTCTGTCAGCTTTTTGTTAGCCAGTGAGAATAATATATATTTACAGTGTACAGGAGGACTATTCCACAGTGAGATCCAGCCTCAAAAACAAAAGGAACCCAGGCGTTGGTGGCGCACGCCTTTAATCCCAGCACTCGGGAGGCAGAGGCAGGCGGATCTCTGTGAGTTTGAGGCCAGCCTGGTCTACAGAGCGAGTTCCAGGACAGGCTCCAAAGGTACACAGAGAAACCCTGTCTCGAAAAAACCAAAAAACAAAACAAAACAAAACAAAAAAACAAAAGAAAGGGCATGCTGGCGTATATATGCCTCAGCTCTCCCCAAGTGACTCCAGCCAGCATGTGTCTGGAGTGTGACTGGGGCCCTGATTTGCTCATAGCTAAAAATAGGGACAGAAGCCTCCACTGGGGTTTGCTTGTTTGTTTGTTTGTTTGTGTTTTGATGAGGGGGCATCTCTCTTTGTAGCGCAGGCTGGCCTAGAATTTTCCGTCTCTCACCTCAGTTCTTAGCCAGCACACCTAGGTCCTCCCAAGTTCTGTTTTAGTTTCAGGGTGTTTTGTTTTGTTGTTTTATATTTTTGAGACAAGTCCCATATAACAGGTTGGTCTGGAACTCACCTCTCAAGTGCAGGGGTTACAGGGAGCTGGGGAGAGGGGAGGCCTGGGGCGTCAGCTGAAGAACATCTGGTTTACTGTTACAGCCAGAAGATCACTGTACTGCCATCCTCCAAACTCCAGAATCTGGCACCTTCTATTATATAACAGAGCTCCAGTTTTCAAGATGAAAATTCCAGAGATGGACCATGAATGTCCTTAGTCCTCTGAACTGTACAGCTAAAATGGTAATTTAAACTGTGTGTGTGTGTGTGTGTGTGTGTGTGTGTGTGTGTGTGTGTGCTCGCGATACATGTGTGCAGGTACAATAGGATGCCAGGGTATCAGATCCTCTGGAGCCAGTTGTGAGTAGCCTGGCTGGAAGAACAGCAAGTGTCTTTAACCAATGAGGCATCTCTCCAGTCCCTTAAAAAGATCACTAAGAAATTAGCAGAAATAGGGCTGGAGAGATGGCTCAGAGGTTAAGAGCACTGGCTGCTCTTCCAGGAGTCCTGAGTTCAATTCCCAGCACCCACATGGTGGCTCACAACCATCTGTAATGAGATTTGGTGTCTCCTTCTGGCCTGCAGGGGTACATGCCGACACAACACTGCATACATACATAATAAATCTTTTTTAAAAAGAAATTAAGAGAAATAGAGAAGTTCTCTGTGGACCAACACACACACGCACGCACGCACGCACGCACGCACGCACGCACGCACGCACACACAAATTGTGGACAGCTTGCTGGAGTCGGTTGTCCTGATGTCAGGGTTGCCAGCCAGAGAGCCTTTACCACCCGTCCACCTCACGGGTCATAAGATGGTCAGTTTTAGAGCTCAGGGTGGTCTCATGTGCCTGCAATACCCACATTCAGGAAGCAGAGGCTAGAGGGTCAGGAGTTTGAGGCCAGCCTGGTCTACATAGACCGTTCCAGGCTAGACCCAGGCAAAAGATGACTACAAAATCATCACTAACTGACTCGCAGAATCCAGGACTCAAGAGAGAAGATCCAGCAGGCTGTAAGTTGGGGCCATTTCCTGGACTCTGCTTTTCTCCCCTTGGCACGGGGTTTGATGTCTTGGAGGACATGGGACCAGGCAGGTGAGGGCAGAGGCCAAGGCGTG